GGCGGCGGGGCGGGGAGCGGCGCGCGCGGGCCGCGGCAGAGCTGGAGGCTGCAAGGAGAGCCCGCGGGGGCCCGGAGGGTGCGATTCCTCCGCCCCCGCAAAACAATGTGTGGCGTGCAGCGGGGCGCAAGTTTCGGGAGGCGGCGGGGACGCGCTGAGCCCGCCTGAGACCGCGCCGCTGACCTTCTCCCCTCGCCGTCCGTTGGGCCCGAGCGCCCAGCTCCTCGCTCCTCAGCTCGCGGGGGCCGGGCCGAGCTGCGGGGCGGGGCCGCCCCTCCGTCGCTGCTGCCTCCTCCCCCACCCTTAGCCGCTGAGGATGCGGACGGCCCCCGGCGGCGTCTAGCGGCCCCGGGCCCAGGCGCGATGGTGCAGCAGCGGGGCGCGAGGGCCAAGCGGGACGGCGGGCCGCCGCCCCCGGGGCCCGGGCCGGCCGAGGAGGGGGCGCGTGAACCCGGCTGGTGCAAGACCCCGAGCGGCCACATTAAGAGACCGATGAATGCGTTCATGGTGTGGTCGCAGCACGAACGGCGGAAGATCATGGACCAGTGGCCCGACATGCACAACGCCGAGATCTCCAAGCGCCTGGGCCGCCGCTGGCAGCTGCTGCAGGACTCGGAGAAGATCCCGTTCGTGCGGGAGGCGGAGCGGCTGCGCCTCAAGCACATGGCGGATTACCCGGACTACAAGTACCGGCCACGCAAAAAGAGCAAGGGGGCGCCCGCCAAGGCGCGGCCCCGCCCCCCCGGCGGCGGTGGCAGCCGGCTCAAGCCCGGGCCGCAGCTGCCTGGCCGCGGGGGCCGCCGAGCTGCAGGAGGGACTTTGGGGGGTGGCGCGGCGGCGCCCGAGGACGACGATGAGGACGACGACGAGGAGCTGCTGGAAGTGCGCCTGGTGGAGACCCCTGGGCGGGAGCTGTGGAGGATGGTCCCGGCGGGGCGGGCTGCCCGGGGACAAGCGGAGCGCGCCCAGGGACCGTCGGGCGAGGGGGCGGCTGTCACCGCCTCCTCCCCGACTCCGTCGGAGGACGAGGAGCCGGAGGAAGAGGAGGAGGAGGCGGTGGCAGCGGAGGAAGGCGAAGAGGAGACAGTGGCGTCGGGGGAGGAGTCGCTGGGCTTTTTGTCCAGACTGCCCCCCGGCCCAGCCGGCCTGGACTGCAGCGCCCTGGACCGCGACCCGGACCTGCCGCCCCCCTCGGGCACTTCGCACTTCGAGTTCCCGGACTACTGCACCCCCGAGGTTACCGAAATGATTGCAGGGGACTGGCGCCCGTCTAGCATCGCCGACCTGGTTTTCACCTACTGAGCCCACCGTCAGCGGGGCGCGCACGCCCCCAAACCAGCTGTTTACATACAGGAATCAGGTATTGGGGCCCCTCGGAGGCCGAGGCTGGCACCCCATCTCCCGCGCAGCCTCCCCCCTCCTAGACGTGCCCGTTTCCCCCCGTCCCTACAATTCCAGACGTGCCCCTCCCCCGCAGACACACCCCAAGGGCAGCCCAACCCCCACCCCATCCCTGACATTCTAGCCCTTCCCCTTCTTGCCCCCTTCCGCACAGCCACCAGCAGCCAGCCCCCCTCCGACACACCGCCCATCCTTTCCTACAGACCTGCACCCCTCCCCCACTTCGTACACGCCCCTCCTCGTGGCCGGAGGACACGCCCCTGCCCTTCAGAATCCCTGCGCTTTCGCCCAGCCCGCCTCCTTTCTCTTTCGGGGGTGCTGCGGCTGGGCGGCCCCGAGCGCTGCTCCCTGGCTGGAGGGGGGAGGGGCACGCTCCTTTCACTGTGGGGCGCTGAGCCCCGCCCCTCCCGCGCATGCTTAATGCTCCCGGGGAGGAGGGGGCTGGTCCCGCCGCGCCGCGCTCGGTCGGCTCTGGGAGGAGGGCGGTCGTGGAGCGATCCCGAGAAATCTTAGGTTCTTCGAGCCGCGGCTTCCCACAGCCCGATGGGGCGGCCCTGCCTTAATGGGAGGAGCGGTCGGAAACGGGAGAGAAGGACTGGCCGAGGCGGGAGGCCCGTTTGGAGCTTGAACTCTCCGGTGGCTCGGCCTTTTCTCGCGGAGGGGTCGCCCCGACCCGCGTGCGGCGCCCGCCGCGCGGCTGCCCGCACAGTCGCTCCCGAAACTTTCCCTGCTGCCCCCACCTGGTAACGAGGAGGGTGGTAGGTTCTCGGAGCCCGCCGCGAAAGAGCGCTGCCCGAGAGCCCTGAGGACCACGGCCGCCGCCCCGTCCGGCCGGGGCAGGGTCCTCGCGCCCCCTCCGGCGCGGCCAGCACTCGCAGTCCCGGCCCCTCCCTGAGCCTGCCGCCCCTTGCTCGGTCGCCCAGGCCCACCCTCGGCCCGCGGCTACGGCGGGAGGGACGAAGGCCCGTTGGTCATAGCGGGTTGAGACAGGCGGGGTAGCGGATGGCGTGGAGCCCACTTTTAAACAGCTGGCGAGAGACGCCGTCCACTGGGCCCGTGGCCTCAACGAGCGTCAGAGAGGTGGAGGTGGGCTGTTCGCGCCCGTTTCTACCTGTGAAAAATAGGGAAAGCACTGCCGGAGGAAGAAACTGTCCAGTCGGGTGGCCGCCGGGACACTGCCCCTTCCGCTGTTACCCTCTTGCTCCAGCTCCCGCCCAAGCCCCGCCCCTCCGGCCTCCCACTCCCCTTTGCCCTCACTACCTGTATCTCACCGGCGTGTGTTCACCCTCCGGGTGTGCACACACTCTCATTCACACACACAAATCTCAGGAACAAACGGTCCCAGAGTCCTCCGGGACCCGCGCCCAGGGTCTCTGCAGGTCTCTGCCCCACGCGTTCCCGTCGCTGACAAAGCCACCAGCTGCCTCCTTTAAGCTTGGTGCTCCGGCTCTGGGCCTTTCTCGTGCTCTCTTTCTCTCTTTCTCTCTCTCTCTTTTTCTCTCTTTCCTTTTTTTTTTTTTAAAGAAAAACAACAACGACAAAAAAAAAAGACAATGAAAAAAACCCAGAAAACGTCATGTGAGTGAAAAGATGTCACTGTCTGTGGTCTTGGAGAACTAGTCTCGTAGCTAAGGGAGGGGACCCCTCCAGTCTGGGGCACTGGCACCCACAGCAGGACTTCGCCAGTTTGATGCCAGGATTGAATAAAGTGTATTTGCCCCGACCTCGCCCTGTGGTTCTACATGTCTGTGCCTTCCTCTACCCTCCCCAGTTTTCCAGAATCAAAAATCCATGTGCTTTAGCACCATGCAAAAAGAACTGAGGTCCCCAGCCAAGGTACCTGGACAGCTAGGCCTCTGCCACCTTCCACCTCAAGACTCCTGGTCTTTCTCAAGGATGGCACACCCCTGCAGGTGTCAGGCAGGTGCTGGGTAGGTAATGTGATGGGTCTCAGACACCAGCTTCATGACCCACCTGGGGAGTAAGAGTGCACCTGATCACCTACTGCCAGTCCTTACCCCCTGGGAATGCAGCCCAGCCTTGGGGGTGGGGGTGCTCAAGAGAAGGCAGCTATCTAGATGTTCAATGAGTCATCTGAATTTCACAATAAATGAGCTAGAAAATTTTAAATCCATGGGATCCAAATGAAGTAAGTACACACTTTGCCCAGAGGCTAGTTTGACCCTGATCTGGGTGAGGATAAAGAGACAGGTCACACTGGGCTGAAAGCCCAACTCCTCCATGATACCCGTGTGACCTTGAGCAAGTTCATTTCACCCTAACTCTCCACTTGTGGAACATGGAGAGGATAACAGTACCTGTTTCAAGGTGAAATGAAGTCTGAGGTGAGAAACATTTGAAGCAGTGCCCTGTAAATGTTGTTACTCCATTGCAGAGGAGGAAACTGAGGCACAGGGTGGTGAAACAACTTGTAGAAGGGCCTGCAAGCAGCCAAGGTCAGAGACAGAACCCCAAATCTTGGTTCTATGAGCTGCCTCTCCCTCCTGTCCATGTCTGAGTTGGGGTTAGGCCTCTCAAGGTCGGGGTGGGATTGTCTGATGCCTGACTCCTAACTGGCCCAGAGTATAGACTATTGTATGGCTAAAGAGCAACAGAAGCCACACGGGTTCTTGTCTTTGAGATTCTTGCCAGTGTGACCATGGCTTTTCCAGAAAAGCTCCTGATACTCCTTAGTTCTTACAATACCTGGTTCAGTTAATCCCTGAACTCAGACCAATCTGGGTTCCCAATAAAAATGAAGGTTGAGTATACAAATCTCATTCAGTGAGGGTGTTTAGGGACGGGGTACTCACAGATAGTATAACAGCTCTAACAGCTTTGGGTGGGCTGGGGGCCTGCAGAAAATGGCACTGGAGATGCAGGAATGACAATGACTTCTTCCTCTGGGTCTGATTGGAAGCAAGATAGTAAAAAAAAAAAAAAATCCTGTAAGAAAGAATTGAGAACATGTGGAGGCAGAGAAATGCCACCCAGCACTCCAAGGAAGGACTTAGGCTGGGGGATGTGTGGTCTGCACACGACTGCAGCTGTCACTTTTTCAGGGCCCGCTGCAGCTGCTGCACTGGTGCCTGTGTCAGGCAGGTCTGTCCACCTGGCCATTGTGGATAGCTCAGTGTGCGTCAGGCACCCGCTGACAGAACTCACATCATAGCCCCTCCTGGTACTACTCACCCCTGGATAGCTGACCAGGTTTTGTCGCATGCAGCACAGCCTGACTTCCTGTGTCAATCCTGCTTCCTCCCGCTTCTTTTCACAGGTGTTTATTTTCAATAAATACGTGCACCCTGAACTCAGTCTTGATGTCTGCTTCTGAAGGACTCAGTCTGCTAGGAAAGGGTGCAAGGGAGTGAACAAAGAGAATTGGCTCCCCACGACAGCGAGGCTTGGCTGGTGCCCTGCACTGGTAACATCAGTCCCAACCTGTGGGCCACTTGCTTGCCCTAGAGCTTTGGGTAAAGACTCCACCTCAGCCTGCGCTCACTTGGGGGCTCTTGGTGCAGTTGTTCTCATTTGCAGCCCCTCCCCATGCTCAGAGGGAGAGCAGAGCCCCATCTGTAACTTCAGGAGGGCTGGGATGGGGAACAGGCAGGGTGAGGGTCAAATGTGAGAAGAATGCCTGAGCGCGTGGGACACAGAGGAAGGCCCGCCCCGTCCTAGGCAAACCTTTTGTAAAGTTGGAGAGGGGAGAGGAAACTAGGAATAGAAGAAGAGAGACATTTTATTGTTAGTTTGGTTCCTTCCATTTGGGAAGGAAATGGATTCTGACCTGGGAAAGGTGGGGAGAGACTGTTTTAAGTGGACTCTGGGGACACCTAGTGGCTGGAAGCAGTAGGAAGCCTAGGGTGGGAGTCCCCATGGGTCCCACCACAACTTCTCAATGCCTGCGCCTTGAACTCCACACCATAACTCACTCAATTACTCATTCAACAAATATTTATCAAGAGTCAGCTTTGACCCAGCTTGGAGCTAGGAGCTGGCATACAAAGGTGGGAATACAGACATGGTGCTTTCTCACTGAACCCCTAGGTGTGAAGAACAGAGACAAACAGGTGGAAAAGGGAGACAGAACAGTGGCACCGAGCAGACACAGAGGAGGCACACTCAGACGCCACGCGGGGCTGATCAGATCCCTCCTGGAGGGGCTGTGTCTGTCTGTCTAGGCTGTGACTGGTCTCGGTAAATCTTAGAGCTACAAGTTCTTTGACATCACTTACAAATTTCCTTCCCCTGGAATCTGGCCTGGCCTCCGTGAGCTGCTTGGAACAAGCAGGATGCAGCAGGTGCTGTGGGTCTCCAAGGTGCCCGAATTAGCTAAGAAGAACCTTTAACAACCTAAGGCCATGTAGCGAAGAAGCCCAAGACAAATGGAAAGACTGGATGGAGACCCAGTGCACGCAGGCACCTGCCCAGGCACGAGACATGTGAGTGAAGAAACCTCCAGGTGATCCCAGCCCCCACTCAAACCACAAGTGTCTTCCCAGTTGAGGCTTAGCCGCCATGAGGCAAAGACAAGCTACCTCTTGCTCTGCAGTCTCTTTGCATAATGAAATACCAAAAATACATACTGCTAAGTCTTGTGGCAGTCTTTTTAAATGCAGAAATTATAACTAGAATGAGGTAGATTCGTTCTTCTAATTCATTATAATCTGGGATGAGGTAGATTCAAAGGAAGTAAGATTTCCAGACGCCAGTAATAGTCTCAGCAAGTGTGAAGATTCAGCAAGAGTGGCTGACACAGGGACATTTGTGGCTGAAAGGGGCAGTAGGGAGAGAAACGCCGAGAACTTTACCCTGACTCTTTACACTGCAGTCCAAAGAAGCCTCTGAAATACAGATCTGACCACTGCCGAAAGCCTTTCCAGAACTTCCCGTTGCCCTTGGGATAGAGTATAAGGCTCCTGGCCTGGCATTCAAGCATTCAAGGTCTCGTGCAGTGGACTTCTTCACTGTTTTCTAGACGGACCCTTCAAGCAACTGGCTCTTCCCTGAAGCTCTGCCTCGGCCATACCAGGTGACTGCCCGGTGGGTGCCCTACAACACTTGCCTTTCCTCTTGGTAGAAATCTGAGGAGTCTTGGACTAGCCACCTTGCCTTTGAGGCCTAGACCATTGCCCCCATCTGTGCAGATAGGTGGCTGAGCCAGAAGTCTTTAAGAACATACCTACCTTTGCATTCTAGAAGCCTATGGAAAGGTGGGGGAAAGGTGCTGCTAGCCAAACCTGCCTATCTAGCTTCCAGGTTGCCTAGCAATGTACAGCCAACCCTTTCTCCCATCGTCAGAGGTTTCTTAGCAACCCAATTTCTCATTCTCAGTTGATTTTAGGGCTTCCTGTTAACTAATGTCAAGTTCTGCTTTCTCTTCTCAAAAATTATCTGAGGCTGAGGATCACTTTGGAGACCGGATACAAACCCAGAAGGGAAGGGGCCTGGGGGTGAGGTCAGCGGATTTACTGTGTGACTTAAAGAAGACTTCTCTGGCTTTTACTGCAAATTATGAATAACGTCAGGGCCTCCTTAGGCCCTGTGTGTGCGATTGAATGGCTAAATTTAGTCACTCTTTCAACAAATTTTTACTGAGCTCCTATTGCGTTTCGAGTATTGCCTTAGGATTGGGAGTTCATTAATGAGCAAGCAAGCCTTGCTTCATAAGCTTATACACCAGTGCATAGAAATTCACATCCCGTGGAAAGATACATATATGACACTCATGTAATGAACAGGATAAAGTAGGGAGAGGCCGCTATTTTATTATTTAGGCCACTATTTTAGAGGAGGTGATTCTGTCAGGATAGGCTGGGGAAGCTAGCTCCTTATTTTTTTCTGTCACCTTGGCAAAGAGGCGTGGGTTGAAACACTTAACATTATCACCTATTCGCCAAATTCCCATGTGCTTCACATATATTTCCCAGTCCCATGGAAGTTAGACAAAGCCACGTGATTAATTTGGCCAATGAGCGAGTAGAGAACTATGCGGGTCACTTCTGTGCCAAAGCATTTGTTCCGGTTGCTATTGTTTTCTAACATACCAAATCAAAACAACAGCAGTAATGTTCCTCACAGATCTGCAGATATCTGGATAAAGAGCAATAAACCTAAGTTCAAAGGCTTTGTAGCTTGGAGGTAGTTTTCCCTTGTGCTTCATTCATTCAAGAGAGCCACTGTGACTGTAATCCCCTGACGGAGAGGTTGGGAAGATGAGATCAAGGAGGTAAGAACGGTTGTCTGGGAGGGGGCTCCAGATCACCTAAGGCCTTGGAGGCCACAGTAAGGGCTGGTTTATCATATCACTGCCAAACTGACCACTGACCGTCTCACAGCTTAATAGCTTAAAATGCTACCATTTTGGGCCTCCCTGGTGGCACAGCCCTATGAAGCTATCCGCAGCCCTATGAAGCTATGCAGCGCCAGTATGATCCCAGCTAGGGAGCTGACCCACATGGCATAGCAGACCTCTCCTGCCTGCTGCTCCCCTCAGCAGTGTACTTCAGTCCATCTGCCTGTTCTGCTCCTCACTCTCTATGGTGCATCCTCTCCTCAACCCTCCTTCCCAACCTCTAGCCTGTACCCTAAAGATTTAGTTATTTATGCATACAAGAACTGGGTTACAGGCTAGAGATGCAGGGTGTGAGAGGATTCACCAGAGACAGAGTGGGGTGCAGAACAGGCAGATGTACTGAAATACACCGCTGAGGGGAGCAGCGGGTGAGACTTGTGCTTCAGCAGCTGCGATAGCTTCATAGTGCTAACCCAACCCGTTGCACCAACAGGGAGGGCCCATAACTAAATCTTTAAGAAAAAACACACCATTTTATCTCTCAAGATTCTGTGGATTTATGGGATTCAGTGGGATGTTCTGCTCATGTGATGTCGTCTGGGGCTTTAGTGGACTGGAACATTCAAAATGACACTGACTGGAGACCTGAGAGGAAACTGAGAGTATAGGAAGGAAATGAAGGTCCGGGAAGGGCAAGGGTCTTCGCTTGGAGGGGGTGGGCGAGTGATGGAAAATTCCGTGAGCTGCTGAGGGATGCTTGAAGGAGTGGGGCCCCCGGGAGGTGGGGGGGGAGGGGGGTCTCGATGAGAGGTCTGTACTTTCAGAGTGAAACGGACTCTGGAAGGGGATCTAGGTTAGCGATCCTGCAGGGGTCCGCAGTCTGCTGAGCCAGCCAGAGGCCGGCTGGGGAGGGGGGGGCTCCCAACCCGGTATCACCCCCGCCCCCCAACTGCGGCGCAGGCGCCAAGTGAACCCGCGTTGGCTCGGCCGATTTGGGGCTGCTGCTCAGCGGAGACAGCAAGCAAAAGGTGAGCTCAGCCCGCTCCACGCGCGGCTCGAACCCCCCATTCCACTATCTCCAGGTTCCGGAGAACCCCCCCACCCGTGCCGCATCCCCAGCCGGGTCCGTGTCCCATCTGGGGCTGGGGAGCCCGGGAGGGGGTTCCCGGGAAGTAGTAAGGAGCAGAGACCTAACCAGCCCCAAAGCCTGGAGACATCTCAGTCGACAGACTGGGCGGAGGTTTCAAAGAACAATACCCCCCACTCCCACATCCCACCTCTCTACTGAAACCCCATTCCCACCCGACTCTGTCAGTTTCCCTCGAGGAGACGGGATGCAGTCTGTCCCCCCCAAGCAGTGGGTGGCCCGGCCAATGCGGCGAGGTCGGGGAGAATTGGCCTCATTTCCCTGGTTGCCCCCCACCCCCACCCTCCGCACCCTCTCGCTGTAGCTGGGCCTCGCCGGACGCTGGAGTGGGCGGGTCAGGGAAGGAAGCTGAGCGAGGCCGCACCGGCGCGCGAGTCCATCCATCTTCAGGCCCTGGCGCCTGTCACCTTCCCCCACCTCCCTCTGCTCTCCTACTCCGCCGCAGTCCCCCACCTCTCGGACCCGGGAGCCCCCCAGCCCCCACCTTCGCGCCGACCTCCTTCCCCGTCCCGCGGAGGGACACGCCCCAGCGGTTCCTATGGCAACCCTGGCCTGGGTACCGGCGCGCGGTGCTGAGCATCCTACCGCCATCCCGCCGCCAGACCAGCCCCCGGCTACCCTAAACTGGGAGGGGAGGGGCCCGGCCGCGGGAGGCAGCGTCAAGGTCACCTTCCAGGGTGCCCGCAGGTGTCCCTGTGTTTTGAGGAAGAGGGCTGGGGTTGCAGGGGAGGAGTTAACCCAGCCCCGCAGTTCCTCAGCCCCCTCCCGCCCTCCCCAGGGTTTCTTTACTGACGCTGGCTACCTCTCGGGTCCCCCCTCCTGGACACCGGGGCCTCTGGAGCGCCTCAGCCAGGGTCCCGTCCTCGCTGGCCACACCCTCGGCGGGGGCTCCGGGCCCCTTCTCTGGGCCCCCGGTGCCTCCAGAACTCTCCCCTTTTTGTTTCTTTCGCTTTTGGTCTCCTGCAGCCCCAGTCAAGGGTTTTTCCATTCCCAGACCCCTCCCCCCAGTTGTGGGTGAAGACACAATTTAAGGGCAGCATTCCTGTGCTTTTGTGTGGATCCGTGGGGGCTCCAAGAATCACCCCAACACAAACTGGTGTGTGTCCTTTCAGTCTTCTGCATGTGTCTCCGCGGATGTGTGTGGAGTGTCTGGCGGTGTCGGTGTGTCTGTGGAGTGTGTGTGCCTCTCTGCGACTGTGTAGGTCTGTTTTCTGCGGGTGCCTGTGCTCTGCTCTGTGTGTGTGTGCACGTGCGCTGGGGAGCCTCTCGCTGCAGGTTTGAGGAGAAACTCGCCCTCCCCTTTGGTTAGGCACTGGCTTCATTTTGTATGAAGCGGCTACAGGGCCTAGGGTCCTCAAGGGAATGGGAGCTCAGTTTCTCCCCAGTACCCTGCTGTAGCCCCCAGCTTTGGTTTTAGTCCTACCTGAGCGCAGGTACATGAGTGTGTTCCACTCCACTCCTGAGGCCTCAGCGTCTTTCTCCATTTGTGAAAAGAAGGGCCCATGGAGTGGTTTCTCCAGAAATCTGAGAGCTCTCAAGCTGCTACTGCCTCACCTGACCTTAATTTCCTCCCAGTCAAGATTCCTTGGTACTTGGAGGTTGCTACCTTCAGAGAGGCAGCTCTGGCTGGGGAGGGAGGTTACAGGCCTTTGTAGTTTGGGGAGCTTGGTCGACTGGACAATTATTGCCAAGAGTACCCTGAAAGGAGAGAAGATTCCAGAGGAAATGGAGCCTTCCCTCCAGACACGGGCTCCAAAATTTCAGCATAAAACTAATAATGGGGGCCCTCCCTGGTGGCACAGCGGGTTAAAGCACAACAATGAGAAGCTAACGCCACTTCAGCATGAGTTCCATCCCCACCCCAGAGGTGACCCACAGGGCACGGCAGACCTCTCCTGACCCGCCCGCTGCTCCCCTCAGCAGTGTACTTCGTCAGTTAGCCTGTTCTGCTCCCCACTCTCTTTCTGGTGAATCCTCTCACCGCCCCTGCACCTCTGGTTTGTACCCCAGTTCTGTATGCACAAATAAACAAATCTTAAAAAAAAAAAAACACTAATACAGTACACTGAATCACACTACCATTTCTCAGCCCCAGGGAGTAACTGTGAAGCAGGTATAATTGTTACCCCTGTTTTGCAGATGAGGAAACAGGCTTAGGGAGGTGGAAGTCACTGCCTGGTAGTTGTGGATCTTGAATTTCAGTCCAGGCAGAGTCCAGAACCCCTGGTCCTGCCTCTGCATTGCCTCCAGACAGGTAGCTTTGGGCTCACCAGCTCAGTGCACTGGCTCATTTCCTGGGGCTGAGGAAAAGACAGGCTAGGATGCCAGAAGACAAGATTGTGTTGGGAGTGTAGGGTGTCTAACGTGCAAAGGGAAGTAGATAGGGTACAAAGATTTAGGGGGCTCGGGAGGGTCACTGTGGCCAGCTCTCACTGATCCCCTCTGTTTGCTGCACTTCACCTTTCCCGCAGGATCCCAGGATGCCCAGCTTTGACCGCTCCTGTGGCTGCAGCCGTGGGCCTAATGTGGAAGATGGCAAGTGGTATGGGGTCCGCTCCTATCTGCACCTCTTCTACGAGGACTGTGCAGGTACTGCGCTCAGTGATGACCCCGAGGGGCCTCCTCTGCTGTGTCCCCGCCGACCCTGGCCCTCACTGTGCTGGAAGGTAAGGCCCGAGGAAGAGCCACTCTGGTGATTACAGGGAAGAAGTGGGACCAATGGAGAGAAAGACAAGGGATGATGTAGTGGTTAGGAATCTTGTGTGCCTGAACAACAGGAAACCCCACTCAAATGTGAATCAATAATAAAGGGAAATATTACTCATTGTATAGAAAGAACCAGAATTTGGATGCCTTCAGGCAAAGTTCGATCCAGCAGTCCAGCCATCACACTGCAGACTCAAGATTTCTCGTATTTTTTTTTTAAATTTATTTATTTGTGCATACAGAATTGGGGTACAGGCTTAGGGGTGGCGAGAGGCTTCACCAGAGACAGAGTGGGGAGCAGAACAGGCAGATGGACGAAGCCCACTGCTGAGGGGAGCAGCGGGCGGGTCAGGAGGGGTCTGCCACGCCATGTGGTCACCTCCTGGGCAGGTGGGAATCAAACTCATGCTGAAGTGGCTTTAGCTTCTTAGTGCTGTGCTTTAACCCACTGCGCCACCAGGGAGGGCCGATTTCTCTTATTTTTAATACTCTGTCATATGCCCCAATCCTTGCAGCCCTGTAAGCTTTAGACTTTCCCTACTTGCTCACTAGATGTCCACTATCATTGGTCTTTCCATTCTGTGTCATTCAAGGGAAATCAAAATTTTCTCTAGTATTTCCTTCAGAAAAGAAATGATGCTTTTCATTTCTAGAAGTCCTGAAAAGCGTTGCATTGGCTTTCACTGGGTCACTTGCTCAGCCCTGAACTAATTACTAGGGCCAGAAAGATATTACTCTGACTGGCAGGAAGTGGGGTTCATCCCCCTTAAATTTTACTGTGATTTTCCCATGATATATTGGGGTGCTATTGCCAGGGCAATGAAAGAAATGATTTCATACTAGACAGGGAGACTGGTCAGTCAGGGTGCGCATGTGGGCAAAAGTGGGGGGGATAAAGTAAACCCAGTCTTGCTGTAGGAGACTGAGACAGAGGATCCCTCTCTACTGTTTTCAAAAGGCTTTATTCTTGAGGGGCGATGGGGTGCCAACCTGTGCAAAGTGAGCACACAGGCCAGGTGTGCAGAGGCCGCCAGGAGAGGAGATCCTCTTAGTGCTGGGTCATCAGGAAAGTAGGACTTCTAGGGGAAAGTGAATAGGTATTTTACAGTTTTTAAAAAAGGTATATTTATGCATGCAAGAACTGGGGTACAGGCCCAAAGTGCAGGGGGTGAGAGGATTCACCAGAGACAGAGTGGGGAGCAGAACAGGCAGATTGACTGCTAAGGGGAGCAGCGGAGAGACAGGAGAGGTCTGCCGCGCCATGTGGCGCAGCACTCTGGCTGGGGATGGAACTCGCGCTACAGTGGCCGTGGAGAGCTTCACTGTGCTGCACTTTAAGCCACTGTGCCACCAGCGAGGGCCCGGTATTTTAGTTTTGAGCATCTCATTGCCAGGTAGTGGGGACAGGCTCTTAGGACCTCGGTCTTTGTCTTCAGGGAGCTCTAGCTGTGGTTCATTCAGCTATTTTGCAAATATTCATCATGCTATTGCTTTGTATTAGCACCATGCTAGATCTGGAAAACACCAGAGGTGCCTAAACCCTCTGCTTTCTGGCTCTCAGTCGGGCCTCACGTACATAGTAACCAAAATACACGTCAGGTGTTCACCCAGTGAGTGAGCCGGAGAAGGCCCATGCTGTGTTTGCACAAACGCAAAGAAGGGGACTTGACCCACTCTAGGGTGGCCTGGAAGGCTTCCTTGAAGTGAGGGTGAGATGTGATCTGGTAGACGGAATGGGGCGGGGTAAGAAGGCACCCCAATAACGATGGAAGGGGACAGAGTTTGACAGGAGAAACTCCCCCTCTGTGGGAAGGAAATTAATCAAGAGACCTCAAAATCCCTAATAGAACACCACGGCCTGTGCCCCTTGTCAGTTAGAGCCTGGCAGGTATGTTCTGTGAGTCCTGTCTCTTAAGGTTGCACAGGGGTTTCTTTCAAGTCCAGTTGGGGTCCAAGGTGGTCAGCCCTCAGCTGACCCTGACTGCGCCCCATCTCTGCCTCTCTCCAGATCAGTCTGTCCTCGGGGACCCTGCTTCTGCTGCTGGGCGTGGCGGCCCTGACCACCGGATATGCTGTGCCTCCCAAGCTGGAGGGCATCGGAGAGGGCGAGTTCCTGGTGTTGGATCAGCGGGCAGCCGACTACAACCAGGCTCTGGGCACCTGCCGGCTGGCGGGCGTGGCACTCTGCGTGGCGGCCGGGGTCCTGTTGGCCATCTGCCTTCTCTGGGCTGTGACCGGCTGGCTGAACCACGCCAAGGCAGAACCCTCAGACATGGAAGTGGAAGGTCACGTGGAGGTCTTCCGGGATGAGCCAGAGCAGCAACTGTCCCCCATCTTCCGCGACGCCAGTGGCCAGTCTTGGTTCTCACCGCCCGCCAGCCCCTTTGGGCAGTCCTCTGTGCAGACCATCCAGCCCAAACGGGACTCCTGAGCCACCCACGGGGCCATGGGAGGAGCCAGACCTGCAGACTGGGCCCTTCGCCTTCCCACACACCCACCCTCCTACGGTGGCCCTAAGTTCTTCCCTCCCACCCAGGCCCCCAGGAGGCCCAGCTTCTGGCCACAAGTCCAGGGCCCACAGCCCCATGCCTCTGCTCCAGGACTGTGACTCACCCAAGAGGCTGGCCTTCCTCAAACCCTTCCCACTCTTCCCGCTCACCCCTCCTTCCTAGGGCCCTACCGAGGCAGAAGACTTCTCCCGCAACCTAACCCACTTTCTCTGTGTGACTTGGGCAAGCCCCATGCCCACTCAGATCACTGGTTCCCACCTCTGTGCTGTTGGTGGTTTGTGCCAAACCCCAGAGTTACATGTCTCCCCTTCTCTCCCCACGTGTAAGCACCGCCCTTCCCAGGCACGGCTGAGGGGTGGGGAGGCGGCAGGTCATTCTCATCCACCAACCCCGCCCTCTGCAGCAGCACCGGGATACCAGGAACAGAACAAAGACGCTCACTTGGCCTTCCGCTCCAGGGTGGACGAAAGCACGTGCCCACACACCCTGTTTCCTACATGTATTTTGGCATCAGAGGCGCTCAGTGTACCCCGCCATGGGCTTTTGCTAACTCCAGTTTACAGACTGAGGCATGAGGGAGACTGGCAGTGTGCAGGAAATTGGCCACTTCAGACGCCTCTGCGCCAACTCCTCTTCTACAGCTTGAGCCCAGAGACCAGCTGGAGACCTGATGACCCAGGTGGTGTGGAAGATTACTTGGACAGGCAGTGGTCCCTTTTCTTTTTTTTTTGAAAGATGTATTTTATTTATGCATATAAGAGCTGGGGTGTAGGCCAGAGGTGTGGGGTGGGGGAAGGGGTGAGGACTCACCAGAGACAGAGCAGTGAGCAGAGAAAGCAGATTGACTGAAATACACTGCTGAGGGGAGCAGGGGGTGACACAGGAGAGGTCTGCGGCACCATGTGGGTCACCTCTCATGTGGGTCACCTCTCGGCCAGGCGGGGATGAGGACGCGGGGGGGTGGTGGTTTGGGGATCAAACTTATGCCGCAGTGGCTGCCAATAGCTTCATAGTGCTGAGACTTAACCCCCTGTACCACCAGGGAGGCCCTGAAGTGGTTTCTAAGAGCCAGGGCAGGAGAACTGGGATATCTTTGTTCCGCACTTTTCTATAATAGTTTGGGAACTATTCTCCCAAACCTTTGTCCCTCAAAACCCACCTACCTAGCAACCATAACCCACTGGTCTTAACCTTACTCAGTAACAAATGTGCCCCCAGGCGGCCCACCCTTCCCCCAGTCTGCAGGCCCCTGGGCCAGAGCAGCACCTCTGCTCACGACCACCAGGGGGCGCTCCAGGCCAGCTGGCAGGGGCGCCTTGGCGCGCCCGCCCACCCCAGCGGGCCCTGCCGCCCGGTGGCAGCCCCCTCCCCTTTCCCCTAGCTTTCTCCTTTTTCATCCCAGACTCCTGTTCAATAAACGGCTGGGATGGACACTTGGCTTCTTTTCTCCCCATCTGGGGTATGGGGGGAAGGAACGGGACTTAACAACACCTACTGTGTGTTGGACAACTAAATCCATTATTTGCCCTTCGCTCCTCATGAGAACCCTTCAATAACGGGGGTTTTCACCTTCACTTTACAGAAGAGGTAGCTAATGGTCAGAAAAGTGGAGTCACTTCCTAAGACTTCTCTCTGGTGAATGTCGGCGCCTGATGGGAAGGAAATGTGTCGGCCATGTTGAGAGCCCCAGCCCCCAGTCCTGAGAGGAAAAGGAACCCGGGGAGGTGGAGTCCAAGGTGGAGGGTTTGGGGGCAGTGAAAACAGCTACCCTCTGCTGGGTCAGCCGTGTTCTGGTGTCTTACAGACGAGACTTCATTTCTCTCTCACAGCAGCAGCCTATGTTGGGGGAGTGGGGGACTGTTCTTCCAAACCTTGCTCCAGACTCAGGTCTGTTGCCCACTGCAGTCCCTGCTCCACAAGTCTCCCTTCAGCTATGCCCAGCTCCTCTCCCCTCTCCTCCGGGTCTGCACCCCAGGCACCTATACATGCCAGCGAGGGACCCCTCCAGACGGGACCTCCAGACGGACCGTGTTGACTCCTCCCTTTCCTTTCACCCCAAATCCCTTTGTGTGTCCGGTCAACTCAGCTTGCAAAAACATGCTGCAGCCAACCACTTCCTGCCATCCTCCAGGCTGTTCCCTGGCCTGAGCCACACCCACCTCTCCTCTGGGTTATCGTTCCACACCGGATTCTCCGGCTCCTGGTTTCCTGCCTCTGCACCCTCCGGGGCCTAGTCTTCCCCAAGCAGCCAGGCAGTCTGTCAGAGCGCCTCTGCTCACAAACCTCCTGGCTCCTTCCTCATTCAGAGAAAAGCCTCAGTTCTCCCTGTGGCTTACAAATGCTCCAAGATTTGGGGACATCCCCTCCCATTTTCTTCCCTGTGACCTCAACTGCCACCATGCTCAGCCTCTCTGTCTCCTCTCAGTCAAACTGGTCCCCTTGATCTTCCAACATCAAGGCCGGCTCCCACTTCAGGGACTTTCCCTGGCACTTCCCTCTGTGGGTGACGCCCCATTCACTGCTTGGCTAGGCCCTTCAATTTTTTTTGAGCTATTGCACAAATGCCATCTCAGTTAGAGTTCCCTGAGCAGCCCAGTGTCAGCACGACCAGGCCTGCATCTCTGACCCTGTGCACTTCCACTGGGGCCTGTTTTCCTATAGCATTGCTTATCGTTCAACATGCCACATGGCGTCCTATTTATTCTGTCATTGTTTCTACCTGCCACAGGACCTTGCTTTGTTAGCTTGCACGTCCCAAGTGCCTACAACAGTGCCCAGCACACAGGAGATGTAGTAGATGCTCAATAAAAGCCCCTTGTATAAATCTACCCTAGTTTTACAGGCGAGCACAGTGAGGCTGAGCGGCATGAAGCAACGTGCCCAGGATGCACAGCCGGACTCAATGGCAGGCAGATGGGTACAAGTCACAGCTTAGCCCACCGCCCTGCCCCGCTGCTTGGTTTGACTGCCTGGAGCCTGAGGACACCGTGTTCAGTGCCAACAATTATACCCACAGGTGGTTACCATGTAGAAATGCAAACAGTGTTCATAGCTGATTTTTTTCCCCAGAGAAGTCACAAATCTAGGTTTTTATATGAAATGTATACATTTTTAAACCCGAGTACCTGTTTCAAAAGTGGATGAAAAACTGTGGAAGACAAAGCATTCCCTGGGACAGCATCACCCTTGTGCTGACCTCTGACCTGGACACTGGGTTAGTGTCCAGAGCTGAGGACCTGAGACCAAGCCTGATGACAGAATGGCTCAGAAAACTGAGGTAGAGCCCTACCCAGCATATCTGTGTCATGCTTCCCCTTCCACCTGCCTTCTGAAAGCCAATCCTGCCTAGAACCCTAGAACCTATAGCCCTGAGCCTAGAGCGCCCAGGCCCCCACCCGGCCCAGTCCTCACAGAGTACCCCCCTCAGAGAAACAGACTCCAACAGCTAAAATTAATTCCCAAAGGCCGGCCGTCATGTGAACTCGAAGAACGTCTGAGGAGGCTCCGGTTCTGTCTCCGACATGCGAGGGGGATGTGTATGCCTGTGAATAGCATTTCTCGAAAGTTCACATCCACCTGAATCAGTGACGAGGGCCTTATTGCAAATAGGATCTTTACAGATAAGAAACTAAGATGAGGGCACAGGATTAGGACAGCCCTGATCCAGTGTCCTAGTAAGGAGAGACACATGTGGGGATGACACACGTGAGCAGGCAGGGACTAGGCGAAATGTCCCCAGGCCCAGGAGCACCGAGGGGGCCTGGCAACCCTGGCAACCAGAGGAGGCAAGCGAGGATTCCACCCCAGCCCAAGGAGCATGGTCCCCCCACCCCACGCCTTGAAGGCCTGCTTCTAGTCTCGGAGCAGCCTTTTTATCGCTTCCAGATACCTAGTTTGAGGCTGTGTTCAGCAGCCTTAGGACACTAATACAGAGTGTAAACTGCTGTATTGTAAGAGAAGCCGTTTGGCAATATCAAAACGGAATACACACATGCCCTTTGAACCTTCCCTTGAGGACAGGTGTACCTGCAGGCTGAATTCTCCTGGTGGAAACCTAAGCATTGTTTGTAACAGAATGCACTGGAAATGAGCAGAGGAGACTGTTAGTAAATCCGGGAAAGCATGGAGAGTCCTTAGTTCGGGCCTGATGTGATCTCCAGGTGTAGCTGAAAAGGGACAAGATGCCGAGCACATGAATGTCTGAAACGTGTGTGTTGAAGACGAATGTGTGTGGACATATTGCGCATGAGTGGCTCTCCAAGGGTTTTGGTGGCTTGCGGGGAGCTGGCGAGTGGGGAGGGGGCAGAGGGACACCCCCCTATTCTGTCATGAGAGCGGCTTACAGTTTTTGAAGGTAATTAGCTTAAAAAATAAAATGGTTGAATACAGTTAATAAGTGGGGGGTGGGGTAAATCTTCCTTATAGTGAATTCCAATTCATGAATACAGAGGATTGACAGAAGTTACCACAGCAATATTTGCCACAGGCAAAATCCACCTGGGAACATGAAAATGAGTAGGTGTGATTTATTTTTAGATTGATCGATTTATGCATACAGAACTAGGGTACAGGCCAGAGGTGCAGGGATGGCAAGAGGATTCACCAGAGACAGTCGGGAGCAGAACAGGCAGATCGACAAAGTATACTGCTGAGGGGAGCAGCGGGCGGGCAAGGAGAGGTCTGCCGTGCCATGTGGGTCACCTCCGGGGTGGGGATCAAACTCATGCGGAAGTGGCTTTAGCTTCTCAGTGCTGTGCTTTAACCCGCTGCGCCACCAGGGAGGGCTGAGTGGGTGTGATTTTTAAGGTGAAGGAGTGAGTTTAGATAGTCTGGAAGTTTCTCCCCCTACATACTTCACTGTTTCCGTGGCAGGTTTCACCAGTGTCCACCTCCAGGGGTGAAGATTGAGCGGGAGTGTGAGTGTGGGCGGGAGCGCATAGGATGTGCCAAGGGGAATAGAGGCCTCCCAGGGGAGAATGTGGCAGGCACTGCGCAGCCCAAGGATCCAGGTCGCAAGGCCAGTGGTCTGCTCCGATGATGCCGCTCAGCCTGGACCTGTGTGGTGCTCTCCCCCAGGCCCATCACCTGTTTCACCGTGGAAAACCTACTGAGGGACATTCTGCAGAATACCTCGCTAGCCTTCAAAGTAAGTATCAAGGTCATGACAGACGAGGAAAGGCCAAAAACTGTCTTTGGTGGAGGAGAGTGAGGAGATGAGGCTGAGGATATGCCAGTTTTGTGCTTCCTTGCAAGTCTCCTACCAAGGCTCAGAGATTACTTTCAGACGGTGAAATGAGAATAACGCAAAGGCTTTGGTTGAGGTGGAGTAGCAGGACTCAGGACGACCCCCCGGAAGAATGCAGTGTGGACATGAATGAATGGAAGGAGCCCCAAGACTGCCCTGACTGACTTCCCGGAGTTTCCAGGTGGAGCATAGATTTTCCACTAAATGATGAAGCACGGAGACAGGAAACCAGTAAGGCTATGGAAGATTTGATCTAGTTGGTCAAACCAGTTGGACCTAATTGGTGTTCTAAGAGCATTCCACCCAGCAACAGCGGAATACTCAGGGCCTTGGGCCTGGTGGCTTCTGGGGACCCAGAGGGCAATTGGGGGGGGGGGTGAAATAGACGCAGACCCTGAGAGGCCTCAGGGCGCCCTCTGGTGTCGCTCACTGGTTTGACAGCTTCCTCCTAGCAGCCAGGCTTCCTCTGGCTTGTTCCTCCAGTTGGGAAGGCTGGGAGAGGAAGCATGAAGAAA